CAGTTAAGGATCAGATCAGTGTATTGATTTGTACAAGACTGTGCTTTTAAACCTCTTATGGAGAAACCCCATGAGGAGTGTTGTTGAAATCACAGTAACCTGGTTGTTGCTTTAAAGTTTGTGTATTGCTTTCTAATTGGGTGAATATAAGTATAGGAGGAAATGGCACTTTAAGCAATCTCCTAGCAGTCTGGCTGCTAAACAGCCTCTGGCCATGTCCACCAAGCTCTTAAACAAAGCTCGTGCATTGCCAGGTGCCTCTGGGTAAAGAAATGTCTTTCCAGCTTGTCATCCAGCACCTGTGACTTCAAGCAATGCCCCAGGTAGCGTGCCTGGTGTTACCCTGGGACAAAGCACAGAAGCCCAGTGCGAGCCCTCCTCAATCTTAATTCAGTACTATACTGTATCAGCTGATAATCGCATAAACAGTTGCGGCCAAAACTGTGCCAGCCTGTTCATGGGATGAAATCTTAGAATGGCAAATAAAGGCAAAGAAACCCTGTGGTGTGCTGCATTGTCAGACGGTAGGTCTGACTGTGTGGCTGCAGGAATTGTTGCTTTGGGGAACTAATATTCTCCTTATTCTGGTGGCTTCACCGTTGAAGTGTTACTGCTCAGAGCAGCCCAGGGGCATGGCATGTTCAAGGGGTCTTAAAAAAACCCCATAGACAGCTCTGTCCCAGCTCTTCCTGTGGCAGTTAATGAGGTTCATATTCATGTTTCTTTGCAGAAGTACTGTTGTACCTTTAATAATAGGAAGAGTGTTTGCATTGCATTTAGTTGTTTTAATTTAAAATGTTTTTCTGGGAGGTGGAGTTAGTTGAGCACACATAATACTGTTAGCTTTATTAAAGACACATTGATACAGTAACACCATTAATTTTTTGTTCTGCTCCCCCTTCTAGCAAGGCTGGAAATCAGAGTGCTGCACATACATAAAACTGTTCCAAGAATTAAGGAAACTTCTCTGAGAGGAATGAGCATTTGACTAAAGGTTTTTTATGGACTTCTGTCAAGTACAGAGATCATGAAAGATTAGAATCCCTCACAACTAAGAATATCTTGTACTGCCTTACTGTTTAAGAAGGACCAAAAGTGAATTTCATGAGGTGAATAAGTGATCTGATGTCTGACATCTAAAATAAGAATGGCTTTTGTTTTCTGTAAGCACATATGACATTGAAGAGCCAGCAGTTCATTCCCTTCTAGACTCAAAATCCCTTTGGCCCATTCCAGTTCCTGTGTAAAGAGCTCCGAGAGGCTGCCAGTTCATTATAATGGTTACTCTCCAAGAACAGTATGGCAAAACATAACCATTTAAAATGTGACATGCAGGAGCACATTTTGAAAACATCCAAAGACTGTAATGTTAAGGAAAACCCTGGTCAGACTGGGTTGCAGGGGGTATAGGTGGGAATAAAATATGAAAAGAACATTAAGCAAGGAAAGCCTGAGCACACTGGCACAGTATGGGTGCAGCTACCGCAGCAAGTTTTCTCCACGTCCTACAATGCACACAGAGTACAATTTAGTACCAGAGATGAAAAATAATGCTACAAGAAAAGCCTAAAGGTAGCAACAAAAGCCTGAAAAACTAAGGAAAAAAGCTAAGAAAAAAGTGTTAGTAATATACCGGAAAGTGAAACTCTGAGGCTTTTCAAAAAGTACAAGGGACCACGCTCAACTGGGATGCAAGGTTTTGGGGAGTTTGGGCTTTTTCCTCCCTCTTCCACCTCCCCACCCCCCAATCAAATTACCACCCAACACAAAATTTACCTGGTATATTAAGTTGTTTAGAACTGCATTCTCAAGGCGATCTCTTTCTCCATTTCAACCTTTGCTTTACTTATGAGGCATTACATGTGTGCTGAGCCTTAAACACATCATAATGTCTCCTGAAGGAGTCCTGTAAAGGGTTTGTGCGAGTGTTGCTTGTTCTGGCCTGGTCTGGACATAAGGGCTTGATTCTGTTAGTACTGGGGTTAAATCTCAAAACCCCTTTGCAGGCACTGTGAGCTTTCCGTTCCCTCCAGCCCATTTTGCAGCAGGCCCCTGTGGAAGCTGCAGCAAATAGCTGCAAGTCTCGGGCAGCAGCCATTCTCTTCTCTCTGTGCTGAGCATCTGGGCCACTCCTGCATTTAGATACAGGCCAACATTTTACCTTCCAAAGAACTATGAATTGTGCACTTCCTAGGCCAAAATGCATTTTCTAGAGATTTTTGGTTCTTTCTTTTAAGAAGTTACTGACCTTGGTTGCACAAAGGCAGTTAAGAACATTGATAAATTTTTAGTACCTTTGTAGTGCTTCCTTTTCCTGTCTCCTTCCAGCAGGCGGTCTGAGGAAGTCTGCCCAGACAGTATAAAACCCAATAAAGAAACCAAATGAAAATTGCAGAAAAGCAATATTGTCAGGTTGTGACTTGAGCAATGAGGTTCCCCCTCAGTAGATGCCAGGGCCAGACAACACTACCTCTAATTTTATGTGATGAGTTGAGAGAAAATGGCAAGCACTACTTGTGAAGAGGTCCTTCCTATGGCTGGCAGCAGGTTACAGTTCAACTAATGTAATTCTAGTCTAGTGGCTCTTGCTTCTTGCTAATTTATTATTTATTGACAGAGTTTTTTCATGTGAGGAATTAGCATATAAGAAAGGCAGAGCTCTTATACGCGTTGAACAGAAAAATGTCAGTGCTGAAAATGTACTCTCATGTTCCCCCTTACCAAGTGTTCTGGCTATCAGCGTGTTGAGACTTTCTGGAGAATGTACTTTTACCTGGAGCATTGGGAACGAGCTCTGCTTGATGCAGGTGTGACCTTCCAGTGAGAAACTTACTGTCTGAATTAGGGTGGGATTTGTGCAGAAGCTGGAGAAATAGTTATCCATCTCCCCTTGGATGCAATGGGATTCTATGAGGAAGAGAGGCTCAAAAGCTTGTAGCAATTTAAAAGCTTATGTTGCTTAAAAAATCACCAGTGGAATGTGTTCCAAAGTCCCTTGGGTTTGATGCCCAAACCTCCTACTTAGAAGTTTTCAGCTCTGGTTAGGACTTAAAAACCAAGCAGTTAGACCGTACTTACACAAGTAGGTTTGGCAGTACTTTCTTCTTATTCTCTAATGACATTCAGATGGCTTAGGTGCGCTAGCACAGCAAATTAATTATTGTTTCTGCCAGAAATTTTCTACTCACAGGCTAATCCCCAAATAATGTGATTGTACAGGTAGCCTTGATGTTGCTTCTGGGACAAGCTTGTGATTTTGCATTGGATGAACATTTTTGAACTGCTGAATTCTTGTTAACAGAATTCCCCATTTATCTTTCATTCTGAGCCCTGCTTGTGGTTTTAGTCTTAGGAACATGTTTAAATCACTTTGGAGATTCTGTGTTGCCCTTGTGGGTAAACTGTACAAGGAGTTCTTACAAACGCATATGATTTTGATCTGAAACGTTGGCTGCTGTCTTGTTGCCAAAATGCCTGTTTTGTGATAAGCAAAGCATGGCTGTAGCGTCAGTGGAAGGAACTTCATTTTCATTTAAATTGAACTGGGCAAGCGGATTGTGCTGCAATCACTTCTTAAGGAGTTTAAAACAATAGTGTCAACTGTAAAGCAAAATCAAACAGGTATTTCTTTAATACAGTTTGTCGGTTTTTCTAGATGTAAAAATGTAGGTTGTAGGTTGACTCTTTTTTTTTGGTAGCAGAATAATTCAGCTACCTCCAGTTTTACGCAGCTGTCATTTGATAGCTGGTTATCAGAGCCACATCGGTGAAATGTGTGACTGCTGCACCTCTGCCTCAGCTGCTCAGCCAGCTTGTTTTAAAGCCCTCAAAGATCTGTTGAACCATTGACTTGTGCTGAAGCAGACTGGGGGAGAGATGTCCTCTCAGCGTGCCAATGGCTCAGGCTGGGCTGGGAATGTGGGCCAGGAGCTTGCAGAGCCCACTTTCCCTCTGCTTGGTTCAGGGAAACCTGCTGCCTCGGCCACGGGCAACTCCCAGCTTGAGCTACAAACCGCTGGGTAGACTTGTTTCCTATCAAATCAGTAGGCACTGAGGCTTCTGAAGAGATCAGGGCAATTTTACCTTAGTCTTTTATTGAGAAGTGCAAATGCATTTTACGAACTTGTCTCAAATAATTTCAGGTGATGCATTTTAACTGGAAAAGTTTTGAAGTAATTTTGAAATGTTTAATTTCATGTGGTACAAGATGCTGTATTTGATTAAAACCAGTTCTACCCATCTCCAGGAATATTCAGTCATTTATTTCAAGCTAGCCCCAGTTTACAAAACCTATTTGCAGAACCTGGCACTAAGCTCTCGAACCAGGTCATGGAGCCTGCGTCTGTAGCTGTGCTTTTCAGCGGTAGCATTACCTGTGACTGTCTGTCATAGTGTCTGGAGCAGTCCCCTGGTGGGACCAGGCTGGGGTAACGTTTCCTGCTCTCAGATGGAGATACTTCTCTATAGCAGACAGCAGGGTCCCCACTTGGGCTTTGAGAAGAGCACCCAGGTGCCCCACCTGGTTGGGTGGGGATGTAAGTGAGGTGAGAAGCTGATGGGGTTCATCAGGCAAATTTCAGTGTGAGTTTTCTTGGAGTGTCTAAATACTGCTTTGGGCAAGCATAAAGACATGTTGGGGCTGGTCACAACTGTAAGAGATTTGGTTGGCATTTCAAATCAATTGTGTGTTAACTTTGCAAGGTGAAGATCTAAAATGCTTGATCTAGTTATTATATGTAGCATATAAGTGAGAAATGGAGTCTGTTTTGCTGCTTTGTATTAAAAATGTAATTCCTGAAATAGCTCATTCTGTTGAACCGGTGGGCTACCACAGCCACTAGGAAAGCAGTAACACACTGGCAGTGTAACAGCCATAGTTATGGAATAAATGTTTACATGCCATCAAGTGTACAAACATTTGATTGCTTACATGACAGAGCTTTTCTTTTGCAGTCATTGGTCTCAATTTTTCCATTACATTTTCTCATTTTCTTTTCTAGCTTTACTCACAGACAAACCTCCAAAGCCATTGTTCCCCATGGAGAACCAGCCAACTGTTATAGATGTCCAGCTGGGTAAGTCCCCTTCTGGGAATAATAGATCCTAAACTTCCACTCTGGTAGCAGATGGGAAAAATTGAAAGTGGTAGGAAAGGTTTAGTGGTACTGTTATTACATGCAAATCAATTTGCAGCTTCTCATTTATAACTGTAGAATTTACTGCCATGGCAATTTAAGGGAATGAACTTGTGTAACATCAGGGGATGGCAGTACTAATTGGTTACACTGGGTATTAAATATAAAGCGCTGCTCCTCTTTTTAATATATGATTGATAGAGTAATATATGTCTACATTGGTCCTGTATTGATCAGCTGATGTTCACCCTATCTAAGACAAATACTCTCATAAAAGAAGTGCTGATTCCTTTAAAAGTTAATGTAAAACAGTGCATTTTCAGGTTGCTTACCAGAATGGGCTTTTGACTAAAATGCCTGTATGCTTTTCTCACTCCTGTAATATATTCTTCTGTGAATGCACATCTCCGACTCTCAGCTGGCAGCCTGTATTTTCTCTCATGTTGAGAAACTCTAATGTTAGAGAGTTCTGCTAACTTTGGGGAACTGTGGGGCACCATGGTGCTGAAGGAATGGCTCAGCTTTGAAGTTCCAGAAGTTTTTTTCAGTGACTTGAAAATAGATTTCTAATTTTGAGAGGCAGAACTGGAGTTGCTGTTGAGGACTGTGGTGCCATGAGCTTAAATTACAAGAGATGTGTTGCAGATGTGGATTATTCACTCTGCACTGAAGCTGTGGCATTTTCCTTCTTCTTGAGCTTGACTCTCTCCTTCCTTTTATATGAAGTTGGCTAGGATTCAGTGGTGGAATAAGGTTTAAAGGCAAGCAGGGTCAGAATGAAACATTTTAAGTGGGCTGATAACACTGTGATAAAGCTGTTTGTTTTTGTGAAACCCTACAGGGTCCTACTTGAGCTGAGTACAAAGGCACATCCTTTTTCTTAAACCAGGTGTTTACCATTTAACAATTTCAGTGAATCACTTAAAATGCTGTGAAGTATTTAAAAATGGGGCTTGAATTCTTGAATGTTATTGTCAAATCGTGGTGAGAATATGAATCATTTGTGACCTTAGCTAATCTTAAAGATTAGCTTTCTCTCATATACCTGAAGTGACTCAGGAGTCTGTAAGGGCTTGCACAGGGAAGACAGAAGTGGCTCTGGGAAGCAGCCAGTGCTAGATGAATTCTGCAGTCGCGTATGTGCATGTTCAGGTTCCCCTCCACAGGACTCATGTCTGTAGCTGAGCAGAAATTGGCCCTAAAAGGGGAAAACACAAAATGCATCTGAAGCCGTAGTCAAAAACCCAGCAGAATTATCAGTAAAACAGAGTCATAAAAGTTTGGATCAGTCCAAAGCTGAATTGAGTCTCCTGGTCCAGCTTCTTAAAAGTCAACTTTCTAATGATTTCCTTTGGGAGAAAACTGTCCCTGCATACATCTGTGTAATAAAGGCACTCAAAGAGTGCACATCTTTGTTTCCTGCATTTTTATTCCATCTTCATTTTCTCTTCCAAGTTCCCCTATTCCATCAGGACTCTGTCTTTGCACTGAATTTCTACTTTTTTTTTTTTTTTTCGTGCGTGAAAACACTTTGTTCTGACTGATTAAAAAGAGGTTTGATTAGAAAAAAAAAAATGAAAACAAACAAACCCCCTCCTCTCCTTGGAGATATGGCTCAGTAATAGGATTTTGGAATATCTCTAGAGGGAAATATAAATCTTGCATCTTTATATGATGGAATGTAATCCATTAGTTGTCCCCTAGGATCATGGAATTTACATGTGGTGCTTTTTTTCCTGATATGTTAATGGGTTTGATTATTGCTACTAAACCATACTCATATTATGTGTGAAAGATGAATGCTTACAGAAGAACCTGAACTTATTTCTTTAACATACAATGAAGTTCATTGATTTCCCTCTTGATTTTAAATGGGAAATAGATAGAGCTAGAGAATTCTCAGGGAGCACCTTCATCTTGTGGAGGCCACCTGCAGCTTTGGGAGGCTGGGCTGACCTCTGCAATATGCTGCAGACCCTCGCTATGTGCTAGAGCTTTGCAGGAATGGAGTAATGGAGGAGAAAGTTGTATGCAAGGTCATTTGCCGGAATACTTTTTTGAAATCTTTTTAAGCTCCTAGGAGTTCTGAACAGGTGACATTCTTCAGTATTTTACTAGAAGTCAAAGCAAAGTTTCTGTGTTTTACAGGGCCCTTAGCCTATGGAGTCAAATCACCCAATATGCCTGCTTTTTCAGTGGTTGTGCAAGTGTGAATGTGCCACTAAACTACAAAAGAAATGGAGTTTAATCCATCTACTTGTTCTGCAGAGATTGTTTTAGATTTCTATTGGAAAACTAATCTTTAAAGATATAGCTGTCTTTGCTCTATAAGCAGAGGAGATTAATAATTACTTACTATCTTCATCCTTAATGATTAGCACAATGCAATGCAAAATCTTCCTAGAACTCTAGGCAGTGGCCTAACTGTTTAGCAGCTTATTTGACCTGATTGCAGGCTTCAGTATTCACCTGTTGGCTTTCAGCTTTTATAAGAAGATTCAAATGAAAATAGGTATGCACAATTCTTATTGACAGTGGATGAAAGAGTTCCTTCAGGCTTCAAACGTGGCCCAGAGCCTGCCTTGTTCTTCTTAAGGAGTATGAATGTACTTTTTACTTTTTCCATTTTCCTTTGGAATGTGACAGAGATCAAAACCAACCCCGTCAAGGTTAGAGAGAAGCAGAAACTGGAATTTGCTTCTTTCTTGTTTTCTGTATTTGCTTGAGCTGGAGAAACAGAGCCAGAGAGGACAAAAGAACATCCCAGAGGACTAGAGAAATAGTCCAAAACAATTTCACTGTCTCAGATGCTTTACCAGGTCAGATAATCACTTCATCTCTGGGCCAACCTAGAAAATAATGACAGATTTTTTTTTTATTGTTCATTTGCTGCTTCCTTTTCATAAAAATAAAACTTTAAAAAAAAAACCAGCAACTTTTTATTGCTTTTTAGCTATTTTTTATTGTTATTTAGCTCTTTGTATTGGGGTCAGAGTAGTAATAGTTCTTAATTGCATAATATGCAGCACATTTAATCTTACTGTATCTTGGTTTTAACAAATAATGTTTATTCATACTATATAGTATATGTTTTTGCAAATATAAGACATCAATCTGATAGTATCATGTTCTTCCTGAAAAATAATACCCGAGTTGTCTTCATGACATTAAAATAAAATTTGATGGTAGGAGCCAAAATACATATACATCTTCTGCCCAGGAGATGGTGTGGCTTTAGCAGAAGGCCCTTAAGATTGCTTCTGAGGAGTTTTGTGCCAGAACTCAGTACTCTGACAAATGCCTTTTGTAAAATGTGACTGTCTCCCATGTAAAGCTTTGAACGTGAATTTATTAAAGCTTATGCCAGTGCGATTCAAAGTAGTTGTTCAAAGACCACCTTTTTTAGAGCAGGAACTTGCTGTTGCTTTGATTGACCATATAAACCTCAGCATGTATATGGATGGTTCATACCAAATCCCTGAGGTTAGAGAACTCCTTATGTGATTTAGAAAAGTAAAGATCAAAACCCTAGTCAGAAGTCTTGAGGCTGTGGTGCAGTAAGTTTTAAAGATCTATTATCTATTTTCACATACAGCTGTTCTGACAGTAAGTAGAGCATGCTGTGCTCTTGAGTCTTAAGATGACTTGTTGGTACATCACTGCTGATTTCTTAATTTATTTCTTAAATTCTTTTCCAGCTAACTTTGTTCACTTAGTGCTTTGAGAACATGAAGAAAAAAAAAAAAAGATAACTAATCCTTTGTGTTTTGATTACACAATTACAGAGTAGGTTCCTTCTCTGAACTAGCTCCTTTGCACAACTGGTAGCACCAAGGAGCCACAATCTGACTGACAGATAGGTAGTTGTGAGTTATTGCACTGCCACCTCTCAGCTGGTGTAAAAGCAGCATGGCAGGGGGATAAGCATTTACGGAAGAAAGGAAGCACAGTCTTGGTTGGACGAGGATCTGTAAGGATCTGGTAGGAGCTGTATCTAGCTAGTTGATGTATAAACAGCTCCCAGAGTCCTGTATCTAGCTAGTCGATGTATAAACAGCTCCCAGAGTCATCTAGCTTGCACCATGGCTGCTATTTTACACTTGTGTATTCCAGAGAGTATCACAAAAGTTAAAAATACAATATCAAAATAGAAGCTAAGTCTGTCTGCTAATTCTGTACCATGTATTACAGTGACTGCAATGCTAAGTTAGTCTTTTCCTTATGAATGAGTTATTTGAGACTAGAATGGATGTTTGCATGTTTCTGTTTATATTAATTGAATATATAATTTTTTGTATCATTTGCTTTCCAACTATGTACTGGTTTTGTTTTCAGGTATTTGCTTAAGAAATGTAACAGTCTTAGAAAACAAAACAAGAAATGTCTATGTTAATTCATTTACTGAACAGGGAAAATGTCAAGGGGTTTAACTCACTTTTGTCATGGTAGTTTCTCTTCTAAAGATGCTGAGGAAAGAAAACACATAGTTTATGAGGATTCTCCTTTTTCCTAATAGCTGACCTGTTCATAAAGATTTTGTTCCTAGAAGATTTAACAGTCCAATTCCTTGGGACTAGTTATTAAGTAGATCAATAGAGCTACTGTAAAACAAGTGCAAGGGAATATACAAAGTTACATCTGCTGACAGGTATGGGAATAGGATAAAAATAGTTTTAAAAAAAAAAAGGTCCTTTTTGTTTGAAGCACTGGCTGGAAGGAGTCATTTGGGAAGTGAAAACCCATGCGTTTGCTGACATTTTTAAGATACTACATTCACTGTCCACAGTCTTAATTTTCACTGAGGCACCAATTCTCTTCTTAAAAATAAATAATAAAGACATTAAAAAAAAAAAAAATCTGCAAGATCTTTTGGAGACATCAATTTCATACCAAGTCTGTCTATTCAATCTAGCAGTGGCTGTCATTACTGATTTGCTGAT